ATGGATATTTTAACAGTGTAGGCAAATCTCTTCTACAGTGTTAAAAAGGCAATTATCAATTGCAAATATACCGTGAGTATTTTCCGAAAATCCAGTTTGTATGAAAGTTATAGCAATTTTAAACACTTATTTCGTGAATTTCTTTTTACTAATTTTTGCTTTAAAAAAAGTTTATTTATTCATTGTTGTTAAGGAACATATTTTTCCCTCAAGAGATCTTTATTTCTTTACTTTTGAAGTATCGAGTACATGTAAATTTTCGAGTATATGTCAATTTGGAGCCAGTGAATTAGACAGGCCGACTCATCATCTATTTTTGCTCCAAAGAGCTAACATAAACACAATACTAACATAACGTTAACTTGCGAACTTTCTTGCTCCAATATTGCTTGATAGGTCAGCTCTGATAGTATAGGAGCCTTATGTCAATTGGATACCGGCAAGTGACGTACTGTGGGTATCTCGATCCTGATTGGTTGTTGAAACGTGGCATTTATTTACGTTAGCAACTGTTCTTTCCATTCTATTTCGAGTAAGCCAAGTGAAGTTACGGTTACATTACACATTCTATTGATAGTGACACTGCTAGTGATACATTCTATATTTTTTTACAACGATCCCTTCGCAAAGATATAAATCCTTTAAAAATACAATTCCTACTTAACACGAAGACAGACACGAAGCCATGCAGAACATAAACTAATTATGCCTCGAAGTTGCCATGTACACAAGACAAAAATATATCACGGTTATAATAAAATGCATAAAGAAATAAAAAATCTAATTTAAGTAAAAGATATAGACAAGAAAGAATTATATCTCAACAAATTTGATGTGTGATACGACGCTGAATTTAATTAACTACACGTTAATTAATATTCTAATTTATGTGGAGAAACTTAACTTTAAAAAGACATTTTGCTTTTGAACGATCAGCTAGCGCTGACGACATAGGTCACATGTGAGGGCATTCATGATCTTCTTTTCACGCAAGCATCCAATTGTCAATGAAAAGTAGCAAAAACAAAAAAACAAAAAAAAAGGAAGAGATTACATGCTGCCAAATATATTCTTAACATTTATAATGAAATTTTTAAGAATGAAAGAGCGATAATAATCGTTCTCTGTTTGAAATGTTATAAGTGTCGCAACGAGTAAAATTACTACTCTTTATTTTTTCTTATTGATTCCCATAATCTGTATTCCTTAGGTCAAATTTTTTTTCTTAAAGTTACACATATTAATTTTTCTAATCTACGTCATCGTCTACTTCTTTACGATTACTTTATTAACAAAACTAATATTTTTACCAATCTAATAAATTAAATATTCTTACAGAAAGCTACAATTATGTGTATTTTGAAAACAAAATTATCTGTGTTTTTGTGAAAAATGTTGACGCTCAAGAAGAGAAAAAAAACAATGATGCTGCTCATTCATTGTCTTTTTTTCTATAAATGATAATAAAGAAATAATTTTGCTTATAAAATATATCTATATATATATTTCTCTTACACGGCGACAAAAAAAGCCTCATTACAACTCCCCGACTGGCAACTCTAGAAAATCGACCAATGATTGCCGCTAAAAATGTCACATGCCAAATCCAGCTGAGATGGCTCAACATATAGCGCTTTTAAAAACGGAAACTGAAATAACCAGAGAGAGCATAAGCTAGGCAGAAGTGAGTAGTCTTTGTCGATAGATCTCTATTTTAGTATTTTGTCGAAAGCGCTTTTTTTCACGAATTTATATATTGCGAATTTATTTGATGATTTTTGATTTATATCACGAATTTATTTGTTTTACTAGAATTTATTTGTTTATGCAGGTTTTTCCATTCCAATTCACTTATTTCAATTTTTAATAGACTTAATTATAGCCAAAATTTTAACCTTTTTAAGGAGACATCAGTTTTAGAAGTTTTATCTTAAAATTTTATACTATAGCACATTTCTAATAGGTTTAACGAATTACATGCCATTCATTTGAATTCAAATTTATTTTAATGACTTAGTATTTATAAAAAAGATGTAATTTTTTTAAAAAAAAAAGTTTTTATTGAATGATTGTTTAGAATTCTTAGAATTTTGCGCATTTGCAATGTACCTAAGTTAGTAGCGAGCGAAGCGAGCTTGGTTTGCGAAGCAAACCATATAAGATTGCGTAGCAATTTTCGGGGGTTGGCGAGCGTTAGCGAGCAGGGCGCGCAGCCCACTAGTTATTATAATTTCATGTAAGCAATTTTTTTTAAAATGTTAATCGTAACGAAGTAGAAGGATATCTGGATTTCAAAAATTATCAACTGTATTTTTTAAAAAAATTAACTTACAGAATAAGAAGTAATAAATGATATATGATAATAAGAAGTAATAGATAATAAACAATTTCATTTTTTAACAATATATAACGCTAACCTTATGTCATATAACAGTTCACATCGGAAACAGTTTTTGGCTCTATTCAGAGTTCTTACTTTTAAAATTTTCGATATAAATTTTATAATTTATCACTGGTAGCATCTGATCTCACTATTTTTTTTATTTATTCATTTTTGCTACTTTTCACGTCAAGGTAATCGTGAGCTTGTGAAATAAAAATATCGAAAGAAATAATTTTTTCTACAGCGATGGATAAATAATCAATGTTTGAAAAAAATCACAAAAAGGCACTTAAAATTGTGATAACTTTTAAGCAAGTTCGAATTAATGGTAATCTTAAAGTCATAAACAAAAAATAGCCCCTTGCAGTATATTAAATTTCAACTCTGTAGATTCTTACGGCTTGTACAGTAGCCCGCATGATATTTTTTCCAACAAGTTTAAAATAAGATAATTGTTGAACTTATCATCGAATATAATTCTTTTATACCATCCAAATACCCGTACGTTTTTCTACACACCTTAGTAATTTAAAGATTCTAAGTTTCATAGATTTTGCGCAAGAAAATAAAATGTAATGACCCAAGCGAAATTCAACTTAAATTACGATTCACGATACAGCGGCGGCGTTATCATCTTTTTAAGATAAAGAATGGTCAACAAAATTATCTTTTTTTTAAAAAAAAATATTGATCTTTAAGGTAAAAAACAACAAAAGAAAGAAAGAGAGGATACCACGATTTTTGGTGAGAGGATGTTAAGAAAATGAACAGTATCGAGGTTTTTACTTTCAGATGAAAGAAATCAATGAATAATTTTGAATATTTGCATATCTTTGTGAGCCTCAAACGTTGAAATACCATTTCTAATATTAAAAAAGAAATTAAACAAAAACGTTTTTCGTTTTCTTTGACTTTTTCTTCGTACTTCTATTATCATAAAAGGTGCTGGTTAAATATGTAAATGTAAAGCATTTCCATAGCAATCCACTGTAATCGAAGGGCGTTATGGAGAATAAAGTTCCACGATTTCGAGACTTATGGCATTATTGTGGTAATATGGTCAGAAAAACAGACAAGTCACCTTTACTTCCCTGATAAGCTGGTGATTTAAAGCTGGGTAAGCTTCATGCCGCCACTGAGGATGGAACTCCAATCCCTCGCAATGACAGTTTAATGCTATTAATCACTGTACCATTGCAGCTAAAGGTGAACTAAATTTAATCTAACAGTTATCAATAACTGTTAGACCCTCACAACAGTTATCAAAACAGTTATGCAAATTATAAATGATTTTCTAAAACGCGTTATTTTATATGTCACAGCCTTCGAAGAATTCCTCATACATATTAAAGAATTTAATTAATTATTTTATTCATAGAATTTATTTTTTAGCTTTAACTGTCTATTAAAAAATACTAACATTTTTGAAAAAAATATTTGCTAAAGGAAAAGTTTACTAAATTTTGGAGTAGTTTAAGTTTTGTGTTTTCCATTCGGACAAACGTGAAGCAAAGTTTGCTTTATTTGAATACAACAATTATGTACACTTTAATACACACTCATTGAAGGGTTTAGTTAGAAACTTTGCACCTAAAATTTCCTTTTGGTGTGCAAAAATATCTATTAAAGATATTTACTTTAAAAAGAAATCATTTTGCGAAAAAAAAAATTCAAAATATATGTAAAAAAAGTTTGCTTTATGTTTGTCATTGTGGCATTAAAGCCTACTTTAATTAATTTGATTCATTTCAAACGCACGTATCGAAGGGTTTAGTTAGATATCTTATTGTGTTTACAGTTGCTTAATTAACATTTTAAACACATTCATTAGAGGTTTTAGATAGATATTTTATAAAATATCCATTTAAGTTTCGAAAATACTTATTGAAAAACACCTACTTTTAAACAAAACTATTTGGCGAAAACGAAACGTTTTCTGAATTTTGTAGAAGTTAATTGTCTTATGTAAACCCTATTGACATTATTACTTTCTTTGAATAAGTTTTTTTTAATTTTAAACACACTTATTAAAAAGGTTTAGTTAGATATTTCATACCTGAAATTTAATTTCAAATAGCAAATATACCTACTACAAAACACCTACTTTAAAGATAATATTTGTCGAAAAGGAAAAGTTTTCTCATTTTTGTAGAAATTGTTTGTTTCATGTTTGTCATTCTGACGTTAAAGCTTTCTTTTTAGTAATTGTGTAGATATTTAACAAACTCATTAAATGGGTTTAGTTTTATGTTTTACAACTTAAAAACCTTTTTAAGCTTCGAATATATATATTAATTGTTTCGAAAAATTATTGAGCTAAAAGGAAAATTGTTTTAATTCAGAGAACATTTTTATTTTTACCTTTGCAATTAGAATTTTAAAATTTTAGTAGAATTAAATCTGCGCGAGTAAAACATTTAGATTAATAAAAATTATTTTTAAATTTCTGAACTCAGAACATGAATAAATTTTTTCTCCATAAACTTAGCTTAGATAAGAGCAAATGTTAAGATGCCGACCTAAGAAAGTTATTTTAAAGTAATTTATCACGTTTTAAAGTCTTAAGATTATATTCAAACCAACAGTTAAACCACAAAATCGTATTTTAAAAACATACATTATCGTGAATTTTCTGCCAGATTTCCCAAAACCATGTGGTATCATTCTCAACTTAATCTTTTCTTCCCAGTGCTATAAGTTATATGCTCTATTTAAAAAATCCACTGGCTTCGTTTCAGTTGACCAAACTTGCAACTGAAGTTATGGGTAAGTAACTGTAAAATTAAAATATTGCTTAGTATGCTAAAAATATTTTTTTTACATATCTAATTTAACTAATTTATTTTTAAATTAGTTTATTTTTTAAAATAAACATAAGAATTAAATGTCGGAACCGAAAAAATTATAAATTTAAAAAATTGTATTCTACAGTTCTACGATATTTTCAATATTTTTAATCAAATAATGTTTTAAATTAATGCAATACTCACATAATTTTTACTTCAATTTATGTAAGTTTTGAAAAATATTGAAAATTTATAATTTTTATGTATTTTAAAAATCAAACATTTATAGTTGAGTTGTTTGAAATATTGTTACGTACGCAAAAACTTTTCTTTTGTACTTAATTAATATAGCAATTTTATTTTTAATTTTTTAAAAGCATAATTATTAGATACCGGAAAAAATATAAACGTAAGAAATTGCTTTAAACAGCTCTACGATGCCTTAAATTTTTATTTTAATCTAAACAATTACCTACTACAGTTATAAATAATAACTATGTTATCAATTTAGGCAATTCAAATAAATTTAAAATTAATGCAACATTCAGAGTTGGTTTCATTTCAAGCTATAAAAGTTTTGTAGCACATTAAAGCAACTATCATTTTTATTTATTTTAAAAATCAAAAATTTATGGATGAGTAGCTTGAAATATTGTTACGTATGCGAAAAATTCTTCCTTGTACTTATCTAATTTAGCTATCTTTTCCTCATTTTTAAAAAGCATAATTATTATTTATTGAAAAAAATTAATTAAATGGAAAAAAATACCATTCAGTGGTAATAAATAATATCTACATTTCTAATTTTTTAAATTCAAAAAGTTTACAATTAATGCAGTATTCCAAGTTAGTTTCATTTTACTCTATAAAAGTTTTGTAGCAAAGAGAAAACTTAACTTTTTTATCTATTTAAAAAAATCAAAAATTTATGAGCGAGTTGTTTAAAATATTTTTAAGTAAGCAAAATTTATTCTTCTTTGTACTTATATGACTTAGCTATTTTGTTTCATCATTTTTAAAAACACAAATTTTAAATTCTGGAAAAGAAGAAATATGCATAAATTTTTAAAAGCAAATGCATTCTGTAGTCATAAATGACATCTAGTTTCTCAAATGATTTATTTCAAATAAATTTAAATTTATAGCAATATTCAGAAGTAGTTGAATCTATAAAAGTTTTATAAAATATTGAAAACTTGAATGCATTTAAAAAAAATAAAATCTATGAATGAGTTATTTAATATATTCTTACATTTTCAAAAAAATTTTTTTTTTGTACCTGTAAAATTCAGCCATTTTTTATTCATTTTTAAAAAGCATAGATAATAAATGCTATAAAATAAGAATAGTTATAAATTTAAAAGAAGTAAATTCTGCTGTTATAAATGATAACTATCTTTTAAAATGACTTAATCCAAATAAGTTTTAAATATAATGCCATATTTCGAGATAGTTTCAATGCAATCATGAAAGTTATATGACACTTTGAAAACTTATTATTGTTATGTATTTTAAAAATCTGAAATTTACTATTATTTCACATTTCTAAGATTTTTTTATACTTGTCGTAATTTAAAATTATATTTTTAGTTCAGTCATTGCTTAGTTATTCAAATTTTTTCCTTAAGGATCTTAAAATTTATTTATCATTTTAATTTTGTATACGACATTCAATTTTACTAAAGTTATGAAAGTACACAAAAAGGATTTATAACAAGCATCAACGTTTTGATAAAATATGCTAAGGATCATCCTTAGCTTTCTATTACTTAACAAGATTATTTAAAAATTTTTGATTATATTAACAATTAAACAAAAATGACACAGTGGAAGTGCCTTACACTTGAAACAAAGCTATAACTTTAAGCTGAATATCCAATCTTGCTGAAAAGAATTATCTGGGCTTTAAAACGGAGAAATAACTAAAAGATTTTAAAAGTTATCATTCTTTTTTTAAAGCGTATATTTTTCGAAATTTTTCCACCTAAATTAAAATTATCAAAAAGGAGTCAAAGCAATTTTCACCTCTTTGTTTGTTTTTAAAAATAAAAATGAAACTTAACTGCAAGGGTTTCTGCAACCGGGCCTTTATGGAAATCGTCGTATCAACAGAAAAGTATTCTCTTGTAAAAATTTTCAAAGTTATCTTTATAGTGTTCCAAACTTTTCCTTTAAAACGTGGCAAACCTAACATTTCTTTTCTATTTGTTAAATAGGTATTTCTTGTTTAATCTTGGTGGCCTTGCTTGGCTTGGCATTAGGCGATGACAGTTGCCCAAAAGCGGCAGAATTATCACCATGCACTTGCGACGGGGAAGGAGTCAACTGTATGAATGTTAAATCTTTGGCAGAATTAAAGAAAGCATTTAGTGCCAATTTCAAGTATGGGGCAGCCAGAACTGTTTGGGTACAGGGAACACCCCTAACTTCTCTAACAGCGGATGTGTTTGGAAAGATCAAAAGTCGTACGTTTTACGTCGAAGTCAACCAGATCGAGACAGTAGATCTCAACGCTTTCAGAGCTTCGAAGGACTACTTAAGTCTCCTAAGTTTATTTGGAAACAAAATTGTTGATTTTCCTTTCTCGGATCTCAAAGACTTCACAGCGCTTTCGACGTTGAACATGGGAAGAAATTTGATTCATACCATACCAGACAACGCTTTCCAGAGTCGTAGTTTGTGGGCAATCGTATTAGCCCAAAACCAAATTAGAAACATTGGAAAAAATGCTTTCGCCAACTTGCCAAGTTTGGGAAGACTGGAATTATCCTACAACCAAATCAAGACACTTGGTCCATATGCTTTGGCAAGTAAACAACACGGAAGTGGATTACAGGTAAATTCATACATTAAATCGTAATAAAATTTTATTACATTTATCGTGAACATCAGGTTTTCAAAAATGATAGTTGAGTTTTATAAAATATGTGTTTAGTAGTGATAAAAAAGAAAAGTTTTATATTTGCCAAGTTTTTAGTCTTACCAGTCACACCTGATTACAGCCCTAGCAGCAAGATAACTTAGGCCCTCGTTGGACCAATTGTATAATCTTGATTCAATAAGTGTTCAAAGGGCCATTATTTTCCGATATTGGCCCTACATAGAATTGTCCGATACTTTACAGCCACTATACAACCAATATCGGCCCTACATAGAGCTTTCAGATTCACTCGATATTTTAGATTCTTTATTCAGCCAATATAGGCCATATATTGTCTGTATATAGTCCGATATTAGCCTTATATAGGACCAATATTAAAAATACAGACATCCCAATATTGGTTCCTCGGTGGATGGTAATGTAGGACCCAATTCGAGCCAATTTGGAGCCCAACTGGGGCTAAGGTAAAATTGTTACTAGTAAGGGTAAACCCACGACAGAAAAAACTAACTATGAATGCCGAAAGCAAGATGAAAGTTAAATCAGGATTTGTATTAAACTTTCGAGAATCGATAGATATATACCGTTATCGTTGTAAGTAGTCTAAATAACACTATATAATTTTAATTATTATTAATAATTTCCCTTTGCTGTTAACAGTAACAACTTGAATGACTTTTTTGCCCTAAGCGACGTTTCAAGAAATTGCTCTGTACGTGTACGTGAAAATTCTCTTAGAACCAAAAACATTAATAAAAAATCTTGAATAACTGTATATCGAGAAATATAGGTGTAAACCTTTAAAAAATTTTAGCGTATAAAATAAAGTTTAAGGGATAGGAAAATTATACTGCTTTTGACCTATTTGTGGTTTGTCTGGGTTTCTTAGCAGTTTAATTTTATAAAAAGGTACGAAACTAGTGTGAAATTCATTAATATAGTAACAAGTACTGGGATTTGTTTCTATTTGAGATGACTGAAACAGTTATTAAGACGGAAAAAATCTATTAGAAGAAACTTTCAGAAGATGCAGCTATTTATAGCACTCAATAACAGCTCCAAAACAGCGTAGAACAGGCTTTTTAACCTCATATGGATCAATGATCAAACTCAGGCTAGAACATTATTACAGTCACAAATAGACGAGGCACAATTTTATTGATATAGGCTTGACAATAAAACCACGAATCCTTTGATATAATTCTAGACGATTCTTGCATAACTCCGTAAATATTGGTCATATCGCTTTGAAACTCACTGAATGAAATACAAGTTTCCAGAAAAATCTTTTATCAACGAAATGACTACAGCGTGCCGCCAAGTCAGCAAAAATGTCGCCAATCCCAGTCTTCCATAAGAAATGCATCAGGCGTTATTTTCTCCCTCAATTGCGTTAGAATTACACGATTTTCTTAACTTTTCTAATTAATCTGAGTGGTTACGGTCCGTCTAAGATATTTAGCCTCATAACAAAAGCGTATTTCCAAATTTCCAAAATTATACACATATTTACAAATTCGTAACAATATAAAACTTCTTACAGCACAATTTACAGAATTTAAAAACTATGTGTTACTGAAATTGTGGTCCTTACTTTACTGAATCGTTAAAAATGAAGACAGAACAAGATCAAATTTCTGACAGCACAGTTTACAGAATTAAAAAACTATGCGTTACTGAAAGAGTGGCCCTTACTTTACTGAATCGTAAAAAATAACGAGAAGACAAGATCAAATTTCTTACAGCACAATTTACAGAATTTAAAAACTATGAGTTATTGAAAGAGTGGTCCTTACTTTACTGAATCGTTAAAAATGACGAGAGAGCAAGATCAAATTTCTTACAGCACAATTTACAGAATTAAAAAACTATGTGTTATTGAAAGAGTGGTCCTTACTTTACTGGATCATTAAAAATGAAGAGAGAGCAAGATTAAATTTCGAACAGCACCGCTTACAGAATTAAAAAACTATGTATTACTGGAGTAGTGGTCCTTACTTTACGGAATCGTTAAAAATGACGAGAAGACAAGATCAAATTTCTTACGGCACAGTTAACAGAATTAAAAAACTATGTGTTATTAAAAGAGTGGTCCTTACTTTACTGGATCATTAAAAATGACGAGAAGACAAGATCAAATTTCTTACAGCACCGCTTACAGAATTAAAAAACTATGTTTTACTGAAAGAGTGGTCCTTACTTTACTGAATCGTTAAAAATGACGAGAGGAAAATTGACTGTTGCATTGCATTCTTCTACTGATTATTTTTCTTTCACTGCCATTTAAGGAGCCTGATGATGGAAGTCTTGTTCTTTCCAAAACACTTTGTTTTTTCTTTATTCTGTAACTGGTGTCTTAAAAATTATGCATTTATAAATACATAATCAGTAAAAATTAGGTCTTAGAAAGTATATATCTGTAATACTGCAAATATTTTTTTTTATTTGTGAAATAAAAAAAAAATATTTGCATTTTATTATCATTTTTAATTCCGAAAGAAATACCTCCTTATTGCAAACTACAAGCCGTAAGAAATATGTAAATGTTGAATTACGGTATTTCATGTTACTTTTTTAACAGATTAATTTTTTGTTTCAGTTAAGTCTTTCTGCCAATAAAATAGAAGACATAGACGACACAGCTTTTGACGGAGTAAATCCATATGCTGTATTTGTCTCTCAAAACCAGCTGAAAACTTTGAAAAAATCAGTATTTCAACCTTTAGTTACAAAAGCAGCCCAACAAGGAGGATTTATTGAAGTTTCTTGTAAGTTTTTATAGCTTATCATTTTCTGACATAAGGAATCCATATTCTTTACTACACAATTCTATTAAGTATATTACATAAAAATAGAAATAGGTTTAATATACTCCATTTAATATATCTATAATCTTAAAAATTCTTTAAAGACCCTAACATAAAGCGCCTGCAGGCCAATTTTTACTTAAACCAGCTGCTTACTGGCCACGGAATGTTCGGGACCTATCAGCAAAAATATTTCAGAAAATCAGTTTAATTCAATTGCTGTGGAGTGAGACAGGACATTCAACATCCCATTAAGCAGGACATTCAACATCTCATTAAGAGGAACACCAATTCTTCGCTATATTGACGAGCAGAAAAATTGTTATTCAAATAATAAAATAAACCCTCAAGGACATTTTAGCCCCAGATCAACTGACCCCAGTCATAAACCAACAATAAAACATGTCATCTTGGCCTTATACTGATCAACTTTTAGCCTCTTCTACTTTTTGCACTTTTATCAACGTGTGATTTTAGACTTCATCGACTTATATTCAAACTTTTGCTTTTTGCCATTTACATTCAGGATTTTTAGCTCTCATTGACTTTTAGATTAGTAATTTTATTTTCATTTTTAATTTCCTTAGTATTACCATCATTTTAATTCTTGACATTTACACCGGCGCTTTTAGCTGCCATTTATTTTAAATCTTGTTTTTCATTACTTTCATTTTTAGCTAATTCACTTTTAACTGATTACGGTCATTTGGCAAAATTTTTCTGTATTTTTAGTTTCTAATTTAAATATTTAATGTAATAATTTAATTTTCAATCTCCGTAATCTCCCTGAGGTTGATAGGGGTTCTATCTATCTTAATATTTCATGCATGACGTTACACTACAGAATTAATAAAATGATTGTTGAAAAGTCGGAAAAATTAAACATATTCCATCACAATGTTACACAAAGCATATAAATATGATATTCTATGATCGTTTATCAATGGATATAAGCTCTTTGTAATTATATCTTGTAATTTTTAGATAACCCCTTGACTTGCAAAGGATGTGACTACACATGGATTACTCTTAATAAAGATGTTCTAGCCCAAAAGCTGATTGGTTTTACCTGCAGAGATGGAACTTCAATTCACGACCTGACCAAATCAAAAATCGGGTGTAATTAAATGAAAAAAAAGAAGAAAAACATTTTAATATGATTTAAAGAGTTTAATAAATGTTTCAGCTTCCAATTTGGAACAGAAATTTTTTGTGTTAAGTTTTCTTTCTGAAATTTGTATTAATGTTTTAATTTTTCTTCAAACTTACCAAAAATTTCATCTCTAAGACCGTAGTCCTTAAGCCAACAGAAATTATACGAATGAAAGTTTCACAAAATAATGCGCTAATCAGTGAAATATGGCCTTAAAATTAAACATTTAAATGTTGAGTTGCTGAAGAGGGTATTACCTGGCTGAATATATTCTAAAAGGAAATTTGACAGCACTCACATTATGTGAAAATAAAAACCCAATTTCAGTACAAAAAGAAGAAATCTCTGCAAAATATTTATAGAATCAGAGAAGAGCCGCAACAAAAACGCTACTTAGTATGTATAGAACCTCTACAAACTATTTATATAGTAAATTCGAAGCCACAACAAAATATTTATATAATTAGTAAGAAGCCGTAACAAAAACGTTTACATAATAAGTAGGAAGATGCAGCAAAATATTGACATTGTAAATAAGAAGTTACTAAAAAATATCTACACAGTAAATGATAGATGGAATAACAAACTGTTTACATAGTGAGTTGGAAGTCATGTAAAATTTTTACATAGTAAGTAAGAAGCCGTAAGAGAAATATATAGTTAAATATTCACACATTAAAACAGATAAACTGCAGAATGGAAATAATTCAATTTCAAGTTTGAAATTCTCATTTGTAAAATTAAAAAATAAATAAATACAGCTTTGAAATATCATTTCTAATATTAAAAAAGAAATTAAATTAAAACGCTTTTTGTTTTCGTTGGCTTTTTCTTCGTAGTTCTATTATCATAAAAGGTGCTAGTTAAAGACGTAAATGTAAAATATTTCCGCAACAATCCACCGTAATTGAGGGACGTCATGTAGAATAAAGTTCCACGATTTCGAGACCTATATTTTGATAACTGTTGTGAGTGTCTAACAGTTATGAATAAGTGTTAGACGCTCACAACAGTTATCCAATCTATAAATGATTCTCCAAAACGCGTTATTTTGTATGTCACAGCCGTCGAAGAATTCCTCATACACAAATAAAGTATTTAACTATTTTATACATAGAATTTATTTTTAAGCTTTATCTGTCGATTAAAAAATACAAAAATATAGATATAAAAATGAATATCTATAAAAATAACTCTACATTAAAAAAAATGCATTTGTCTATTATAAAAATTATTATTTAAAAATTTCGCTGAGAAGGAAAAATATTTTAATTTTTGGAGACGTTGTAAGTTTTGTGCTTGCTATTGAAACAGATGTAAAGCAAAATTTGTTTTGCTTGAATACTTCATGGATACTTAGGATACTTCATGGATGAAGAACACACACTCATTGAAGGGTTTAGTTAGAAACTCATACCTAAAATTTATTTTTAAGGTGCAAAAATATATCTATTTAAAAAAATTTGCTTTTAAAACAAATTATTTTGCGGAGAAGAAAAAAAATTTACTTTTAGTAAAAGTTGTTTTATATTTGTTATTGTGGCATTAAAGCCTACTTTTTGCTCATTTTAAGCGCACTTATTAAAGAGTATATTTTATACAAAAATTAGGTTGCAAAATACCTTATGAAGAAACATCTTTAAAAAAATTATTTAGCAAAATGAAAAAGTTTTTTAATTTTTTTTTAGAAATTATTTGTGTTTAAAATTGTTTAATTAACATTTAAGCGCACATTTAACATTTTAAACACTCTTATTAAAGGGTTTAGTTAGATATTTTATTAAATATCCATTTAAGTTTCAAAAATATTTGCCGAAAAACACCTAATTTTAAACGAAATTATTTGGCAAAACCGAAAAATTCTAAATTTTGTAGAAGTTAATTGCTTTATGTAAGCCATTTCGACATTATCACTTTCTTTAAATTAGTTTTTTTATTTGAAACACACTCATTGAAAAGGTTTAGTTATATATTTCATACCTAAAATTTCCTTTTAAATAGCAAATAAACCAACTGCAAAACATTTACTTTAAAGATAATATTTGGCTAAAAGGAAAAGTTTTCTCATTTTTGTAAAAATTGTTTGTTTCCTGCTTGTCATTGTGACGTGTTAAAGCTTTCTTTCAATTAATTGTGTAGATATTAAACAAACTCATTAAAGGGGTTAAGTTTAATGTTTTACAACTTAAAAACCTTTTTAAGCTTTAAGTATATCTGTGAACTGTTTCGAGAAATTATTTAGTTAAATTACTAGAACTAAAGCTGCACAAGTTAAACAATTAGATTGATAAAAATTATTTTTAAATTTCTGAACTCAGAACTTGAATAATTATTTTCCATAAACTTAACTTAGATAAGAGTAAATGTTAAGATGCTGACCTAAGAAAATTATTTCAAAGTAATTTATCTCGTTTAAAGTCTTGACTGATTATATTCAAACCAACAGTTAAACCACAGAATCGTGTTTTAAAAAGATACATTATCGTGAACTTTCTGCCAGATTTCACAAAACCATATGGTATCGTTCTCACCTTAATCTTTTCCTTCCAGTGCCGTAAGTTATGCTTTATTTAAAAAATCAACTGGCTGCGTTTCAGTTGACCAAACTTGCATCTGGAGTTATGGGTAAATTGCTTTAAAATATTGCTTAGAATGATAATATTTTCTTCGTTGTACATATCTAATTTAAATTCATTTGCTATTTTTTTTAAATAAGCATAAGAATTAAATGTCGGAAATAACAAAAACTATAATTTAAAAAATTATATTCTACAATTTTACGATATTTTCAATATTTTAATTCAAATAGTTTTTAAATTTAATGCATAATTAATTAATATTCATATAATATTTTCTTCAATGTAAGTTTTGTAGCATATTGAAATTTTTTTCATTTTTATGCATTTTAAAAATCAAAAATTTAGGGATGAGTTGTTTGATATATTGTTACGTGCTCAAAAAAAACTACGCTTTTGTACTTATCTAATCAAGCAATTTTATTTCTAATTTTTAAAAAGCATAACTATTAAATGCCGGAAAAAAATTATAAATTTAAAAAATTGCATTAAACAGTTTTACAATGTTTTCTATTTTTGTTTTAATTTAAACAAATTTTAAAATGATTGCAGTATTTAGATAAGTTTCACTTTAGTTTGCGAACGTTTTGTAGCATATTGAAAAATTTTCATTTCATGCATTTAAAAAATAAGAAATTTATAGATGAATTAATTGAAATATTGCTGTTTATGTAAAGAAATTCCTTTTGTCCTTATATAATTAAGCTATTTTACTTCTAATTTTTAAAAATCATAAATTTTAAATCCCGGAAAAGGAAAAAGAAATAAATTTAAAACTTGCCTACTGCAATTATAAATAATAACTATGTTATCGATTTTTTCACTTCAAATAAATTTTAAAATTGATGCAACGTTCAGTGTTAGTTTCATTTTAATCCATGAAAACTTTGTAGCACATTAAAGCAATTATCATTTTTAAGTATTTTAAAAATCAACTTATGGATGAGTTGCTTAAAATATTGTTACGTATGCAAAAATCTTAATTCTACTTATCCAATTTAACTATTTTTTAAACATTTTTAAAAAGCATAATTATTATTTATAGGAAAAAAATTATGATTTCAAAAAAATACCATTCAGTAGTAATAAATAATATCGACGCTTCAAATTTCTTAAATTTAAAAAGCTTGTTTCATTTTAATCTATAAAAGTTTTATAGCATAGTGAAAACTTACCATTTTCATCTATTTTAAGAGTGAGTGAGTTGTTTAAAAAATTGATATGTAAGCAAAATTTATTCCGGTTTGTCCTTATATAATTTAGCTATTTTGCTTCCCCAGTTTTAAAAAGACAAATTTTAAATTCTGGAAAAGAAAAAAATTATAGACATAATTTTTTAAAAAACAAATGCATTCTGTAGTCATTAATGATATCTGGTTTTTCAAATGTTTAATTTCAAATAAATTTAAAATTACAACAATATTCACAATTAGTTTAACTTTGATCTATAAAAGTTTTGTAAAATATTGAAAATTTATAATTCGAATGTATTTTAAAAATCATAAATCTGTGAATAAATTATTTAAATCACTGTATTTTGTACTCAATGTAGACATTTTCTACTCATTTTAAAAAGTATAGATATTAAAGGATAGAAAAGAAAAATTTTAATAAATTAAAAAAAAAGAATTTCTGCTGTAATAAATGATAACTATGCTTTAAAATGTTTTTATCTAAATAAGTTTTACAAATAATGCCATATTTAGAGATAGTTTCAGCCCAATCATGTAAGTTTTGTGATATTTTGAAAACCTTAATAATGTTATGTATTTTAAAAATTTTAAATTTACAATTATTTCATATTTCGAAAATTTTCTTATGTTTGATTTAATTGAAAATTATAGTTTTTAGTTCGTTAATCGATTGGTTATTTAAATTTTTACTTTAATGAACTTAACATTTGTTGAATTTGCATTTTTAAAATAAATTTTATTAGCTTGCATTTTTATAACATTTTAATTTTACCGACGACATTCAATTCTTTAAAGTTATGAAAGTATACAAAAAAAATTTATAGCAAGCATGAACGTTTTGATAAAATATGCAAAGAATCAGCCTTCACTTTTGATTACTTAACAAAATTATTTCCAATTTTTTGATTACATTGATTATTAATTATTAGGAAAAAAGCCACAGTTTAAGTGCCATACACTTGATGCAAAGCTATAATATTTAACTGAATATGCCATCTTGCTTTAAAGAATTATTTGGGCCTTAGAATGGGGAAATAAAAAAAATATTTTGAAAATTACTCATCTTTTCTTTAAAACGCTAATTAGGCGACATTTTCCCACCTAGATGAAAAGTATAAAAATCAATGTCTTATTACCATGATTTTAAAATTTTTATTGATAAAGCAGCATTAAATGAAGTTTTCAGGTATTAAAAAAATAAGACCACAAGCGCTTCTCATGTTCTCAAAACTGTGGTTTTCCTACACATTGACGTCTTTCGCTATTTTCAG